AATATGACGTCATATTTAGACCAGTACATGTGTAAAAATAGTGACCTATATTTGTGTCAAAATACATATATTATTGTGTTAAATTACACGTAAGGTATATGGTTAATAAAAGAAAAAGTAAAACAACGACATTTTTGTCGGTTTGGCGTTGACACAGTAAACGACATTTATGTCTCTTTGGCGTCGAAAGGGTTAAGTCTCCGGAGCGATATCGCCTACGGGTCTCTTGTTTATAAAGAATTATTTTTGTATAATTCTCCTTTGGACAGTACTGTTTGATTTATAGTTTTGGCTGATTAACGCTCCTATTTTGCTGTTTTTCTTTTTAAAAAAATACAAAATAAAGCTTTTGAAAATCCATTTCAATATATATTTAAACATTTAAAATAAATAATTTATAAAGATCTGACAATAAAAAATAGACCAAAAAAATGATTTGTTATAGTTTCTTGAACCAATATCAGTATTAGATCAGGAAGGAGATGTAGAAACATTCTTCATAACAAAATGTACTTTTAAACGTAAGTAATTATGCATAACATGTATATCACACAGCTTACATTTTTGTCAGTGTTGTGGAATGAAATGAAAGACGTCTTGATCGTATAGTGGTTTATTTGAGACTTGTTATTATCTATAGAAACAAACGAAAGTATTATGACGTCACAACAAAGTTTACGTTACATGAATTCGCGGATAATCCATGACACTCTGAGCACCAAAATGAATAGTAAAATTTGAAAAAGCTCATATTAAATTAACAGTTCCAGTGAAATAAAAAGCAAGTTCATAATCACTAAATTAAGAGGTCCATTCAAGGATTCTTTCTTTGGCTTTTGGTTTTGATACTCGATCATCTTCTTTTCAGACACTTTATATTTCAGCTTTTGTATCAGAGTCTCAGTTTCCGAGTGCTTGTGACGTAGTTCTGTGTTAGCTCTCTCCAGCTCCATGTTCCGAGTCTGTAGGTTGTTGTTTTGTTTCTTTATCTCTGCCATGTCCCTGAAATTCTTTTTCGGTGACTTATCTTTTTCCTTCTCCTCGGCCACTTTAAATTTTTCTATCAGCTGAGTTTTCTCCCTTAGTTCCTCATCACGAGTCTTTACGGCGAACCTATAATCTCTCTCCCTGCTATCTACGGAGTCCTGTAAAGTTTGCAGCTGATTTTCCAATCTCTGTACATCTATCTTCAGATCGCTTATTTCCTTTTGAGCGTAATCATATCGTGACTGAAGACTGCTGGTTTTAGTCTTGACGTGCTCCGAGTCAGAGCTGGCGTTTTTGAGTATGTCAACTTGGCCCCTTAATTCCTGAATCTCCTTATGCAGACGTCCGTTTTCGTACGCCAGTTTATTTTTCTGTTCCATCATTTCCTTCATCACATTCTCTATACGAGTCTGAAAATCCTTTTGTTGGTCGAATTGTGACACTCTCTCTAGTAGGGTGGCATTCTCCTGCTCCAACACGTTCCTCCTTTGTGTCTGTGTCTTCAGCTTTGATTTTAATTTTTGCATCTCGTTAGTCAACGTGTTACGTTCTTGCATGGAGTCCACGGTCCGACTTATCGGAGAGATAGGCCTAGCTGTATTCAGTAAAACACTTGTAGGTCGATGTTCAACGTTCAGTACTGTGGTTTCTGACTTCTTGCTCGTTTCTACAATGTTGACACTTGTTGATTTGGTGGGCTCGTCTATGTCCCTCGTTAGTTTCATGTCGCATATACTTGTGTGGTGTTTTTTCTGACACTTTTTACACCTGTTGCGGGATTTACAATCTGAGGCGCGGTGGTTTCCCAAGCAGTTGAAACATAATTTCTTCCGTTTTAAGATGTCAAATCTTGCACTTACCTCTGTAACTTTCTTACAATCCCCTGGAAAATGATTCTCTGTGCAACAATAAATGCATGGGCGGCTCTTCATCTCTGTTGTTTCAACATGAGGAGTTGACTCTCTCGTTTTCTGGTTATGTGAATAATGAACGTTGCGTTGTTTCTTTGAGGCTCCGGTAAGAAACATTGCTGTTGCGTGAAATCCATCGCTGTTTTCAATCTGGCCTGATTCAAGGATTTTGACTTCTTTGCTGATAGCTTTACGAAGATTTTGTAGTGAAATGTTGTCACCATCGTACTCACGTGCAATGTTTTTCCTAATTTCAGTTGGTAGCTTGTTGATTATGACTGGAATAAGTAATGCTCCAAACATCTCTTGTCTTTGTCCTAGACACTCTAAACTCCTGACATGAGATTCCAAGAAGTCTCCATAATTTCTTAAACTAATGACATCATTTCTGGGGGCAGGAAGTTCGATGAGTGCTCTCATATGAGCGTTAATAATTTTCTGTGGCTGACCAAATCGTTCTTTGAGCAAGTCTATTGCCGTTTCGTAATTAGCATTTGTAAGCGCAAATCCTGCTATTGTTTGTGCTGCTGTGTCGCGTAATTGAGCTTTGAGATAGCTAAACTTTTGAATTGGCGTCAAAGTATGATTGCAATGAATCGTTGATTCGTAAGAATCCCAAAATGTATTCCATTCTAATACATCTCCGTAAAAATGCGGAAGATCTAACTTTGGTAATCGGTGATTATTCGTGGCGTGTTGGGATGTTGATGACAAAACATTTTCCTGGCTACTTTGTGCATTGAGATCAGAGGCAGGAACATTGTTCAAAATATTCTCACAAGCCGTTTCACTTGAGTTAATTGTAGCTGACGTGTTAACGTTATTATCATAAATTTCTGTGGCGGATGTAAAACACTCAGCATTGGCATTCAAAGTTTTACATGGAATTTTTTCTGTGAATTTTTCAGTTTGCCTAATTTTACAGTCTAATTCATACATGTACTCATCTGTATTTGCGATTTCTGTTTCGATGTCCTCTTCAGATAGGATATCCAATATGCGGTCATTCAATTCTTGTAGGGTCTGCCTTTTCAGCGCGAGAGACTTTCTAATTATGTTGATTTCCTCGGTAATTTCTTCACTGGCTGGATTTTCCTTCAAGTCCAAAAACCGTCCGAATAGCTTTGTAACTGCTGATCTGTTGCCTGCTCGTATAGCTTTTAGTCTTCCTTCCATTGTAAGTACTACGTAGAATTCCGTCGGTCACGGCACCAAAATGTTGTGGAATGAAATGAAAGACGTCTTGATCGTATAGTGGTTTATTTGAGACTTGTTATTATCTATAGAAACAAACGAAAGTATTATGACGTCACAACAAAGTTTACGTTACATGAATTCGCGGATAATCCATGACAGTCAGATTTGATCGATAGATTCATACTGGACAGTCATAAGGCAGCTGTTGTTAAGCTTTAGTTACACTTATCTTAAACAGGTGTGTGACACGTGTCTACTTACAGAGTCACCAGATATTGCTAGCCAAGGAAAAGCCATGACACGTATCTACTTACAGAGTCACCAGATATTGCTAGCGAAGGAAAAACCATGTAATAATTTACTACATGTGTATCAATTATGTAAAATAAACATTAAAAGGAATAATTTACAGTACAAATAGGGCAGTTATACCCAACACAGTAAACAGTCAACACTTATTATGTCGTATAATGTTTGAAATTAAACAAATCATCTTCACGATAGATTTTATTAGATTGATTCATTGTATACAAAATCTGAGTTTATTTGTAGCTACAAAGGGGAGACGGAATTTAATTTATAAGGGAAATATTAAAGCTAATGACATCACACAAAATTATCAACTCTTTAAGGAGGTTCGATTCTGAGCTTTTGAGCAGATTTTTGTCTGGATCCTTATTTCTAAAATTCTGCATCATATTTAAGTTCTTACATTCTACAATGCAAATTACTGTATATTCAAATGAAAACTCACGAATAAATTCCATACAAAAAGCATTAATTGAGGAACAATATTTTGTAGCGGAAGGTTTTAGAAGAAATTGATCAATTTTTGTCTTTCAAAGTATCAACAGTATTGTTAAGTTTGTATACCTATTTTTTCCATGCAAGCTGAACAAAGAGTTATTTTGTGCAGTGAAATGTTTTATGCTGTTCCTGAAATATGTATTAATTTAAATTAACTTTTATGAATTCTATCATCAAATTGTGACAAATAAAGCAAATATATTCTGATGGTCCGAGAAAAAGTGCCAATTTTAACTTAAAATTAACACTTTGTCAGTAATAAGGTAAAAAATTACATCATTAGATCCTCACTTTTGATTTTCCTTTCTGAATATAAAAGATAACTTTGATCATTCTTCTGAAATTCAGCAAAAGTTTAGGACTTAAAGATAATTTTCTTGGTTGTTAAATTTTTAATGCCAGAAAAATGACAGTTTGTGAGTGCAGAAAAGGCAAATCATTGATTATGCAAAGTAATTTGAAACTTTTCCTTAGTCAAAATTTTCATGTGTCTTTTTAAGACAAGGAAAAATGTATTTTATAATTATATTGAATATTATTTGCAGATATTTAAGAGGCCATAAAGATTTAAATGCGATGACTTTTTTATGATTTTATTCAAATGTTTTCCATGCATTTCTCAATTAACTGATACTGCCGTATATTTGTATGCAGGTAATGTGGAGTGTAACGTAGGGGTCTTTATAAATCGATATAATGTGAAGGCATGCTCTCAATGAATCATGTAAGAATTTACACATAAACTCTACACGTATCAAGCTATTTGAAAAGAGCTGAGATAATAACGAATTTTTGAAAATGAATCAATTATTTCTAAATGTAATGCAGTTGACCAGCAAGAAAAAAAATGAGCATGTTAATACTCGAATCTACATAGGATAACAGCACTTTTCACAAACTACAACGAATATTGAAAATACACGTATCTTTAAACTTAATATCGGATGTGAAATTCACAGGTGACATGAATTGCTAAAATCACGTGACTTCCACATCCCGTGACAAATCTTAATTGAAAATCTTTACATGAATAACTTTTGTCCGATTTTAGTAAAGTAATAAAAAGAATCCTTGTCTACATATTATGTACAGGTCACCTTATCTAGTCAATTCAAATTTCTCCAGCAGTTTTTTCTTGATTTCACCTTGAATTTGTTCAAGTTTTAATCCTTTTTCACCATGTTCTGTCTGGGAAACTTTTGATTTGTCTGAAAACAAAATTAAATACTTTAAGTATGAGACAAATGATGAGCAAATATTTAAAATGAAATAGCTTCAAATGAACATTGAATCTACTCGTGTGCTGGGCTGAAGTGTCCTTTTGTTTGATTGCTTCATGTATATCTGGTAATTCTTGCAATGTTGATGGATTTGATTTCTGTTGAGCCTGGTCTTTTTCTTTTGACTCTTCCTTGGAATGATTCTGAGGAGATTCTACCTCCTTTTGGAGTAATGTGTATGAACTCGTATTTTCTATTTTGATTTCATCTGGTTCGTGCATTATAAGGGTTTCGTCGATGTCGTGATAGATTTGAGTTCTTCTTATGGTTGGGCGTCTGGTCACTTGGCTAATCTTTGAGGACAAGCGTTTGACTCTGAAACTATATGCAAAGATTTGTATAAAATTCACAAAGTTAAAAAGATACCATGGGTAAGCATGATATTCAAAGAATATGTAAAGACGAATAATGACCCCCTTAGAATAAAGACCGAGGGTCAATTTTTAGACGTTGAAAAATGACTCCTGGTCATTATTCTACGTCGACAAAGGACCCCGGTCATTATTCGACGTCGACAATTGACCCCGGTCATTATTTGATGTCGAAAATGACTCTTTTTGCCTGTAGAAAAAGTGGCATCACCCTTAAAATCTGCATACCCTACGTGAAGAAAAAAGACCCCCGTAGAATAGAGAGGTTTAGCAAGCTCACTTGTACGTGTACATGTATGTGTAAACTACAAGTTAGAATTACACTTACACGTTTACATTATTTTTCTTGTTTAGCAAAGCATAATCTGTACATTTACTTGTAAGTGTTTTAGATGCAAAGGTAATTAACATTTAAAAAAAAAATAGAAAAAAACATTAAAGGACAAGGTACAGATTCAATACAAATCTTGTCAAGTATTTTTCAAAAATATGAAAGTGATGTGAGAAATTAAAACTCATGCTTTCTGAGTTGTTGAAATTCCAGGCAGTAAGAATATAGAAATCGTTTTTCTCATATGACTTCCTAATGGCTAATTGTGACGTCATAAACTTGTGCATTTTCCCGTATTTTCTTTAACAATTGCAGAAGACATCAATTTTCAGTGAATTTTTCTCGCCCACAAAGATTTTCAGAAATATGATTTTTCAAAGGATTTTACACTGCATGTACATATCCAAAAATTGCAGTGCGTGATGGCTGCTGTTGTTAAGCTTTAGTTACAGTGGGTGATGGTGGACACTATTTTCTTAAGGAAAATAACCCCAGAAATGAGTCATTTTGAGGCTTTTTCTGTTAAAAACTTTGAAATGTACCAAATTAATGACGTCATATTTCCAGAATGGTCCTCCTTCATGCCGTATTCTTTCATGATCTATCACATTCAAATACTCAACTCATATTTAAGCCAATTCCATAACTTTTTGAAAACATTAAATTTTTTAGGGCACAATAAAGCAAAAACTGTACCTTCTTCTTTGTTATGCATATCACTGTTTTAAATCAATATATGCATATATTTATAAGAAAAAATGAAAAGAGCTCTTATAATTCTAATCCGCCAAAGCCTGTTTTGAAAGTTTAGATGTTGTGTTTTTAACACTCTGTAAAATTATTTTTTAATTATAGACGATTAGTTCTTTATATCAGTATTTGCATTAAATCATCAGGTTTTAGAAAAACGCACACTCTTAAATAAACAGCAGCTACAAGTTTAGACTTACATGTACATGTAAGTAGATACGTGTAGAAATTCGACAATAGCAAAACTAATGACGCAATGCACGTATTTCTGTGGGGAATCCCCTGCTACACGTACAAGAACGCGTACATATTGGTTTGCTAAACCTCGCTAATAATGACCCCTTGTAGGTTTCATTAAAAATATATATCTTTTTTAAAGAATTAACAAATCAAGGGCTTGTGGATCAAAATGCTCATCTTAAGTAAATAAATATACAACGATGATCCGTTTTCCTCATTTATCTTTCAAATGTCATTTATGAAAAATTGACAACTTTAATCGGCATCAATGTACACTACATGGAACTGCGTCCACACTGATTTGACTAATGTATCAAGACAGCACAATAGATACAATAAAAGAAACACATGTAATGTAAACAAATCTTAATTGCGTGTTCGTCTAGTGTTAATCGGGAAAGCACAAGACACTTACCAGTTTGTATCACTCTGTTGGGATGGGGTTTATTTTTTAATGGGGGTTAATTTCTTATAGGTTGCACATGTAGAAATCTAACCCCTAGGGTTCTTTTTCTAGAAAAAATTAACATTTTTCTACGACAAGGGGGTTATTTTTCCATAACCCTCGGTAATTTTTCTACGGGGGTTATTACTCGTCTTTACAGAATAGGTTTACATTCCTATATGTACAAATCTTTGATTGATAAATATACCGATTTCATTCCTTAGCAGTTTTTGAACTATTATATACATGTATCTACTTCTACTATCATAACATCAATAATCAATATATATTATTATAACAGTAACTTGATCCGAAGAGCCGTATCACGTCGAGTTGACAGGCGCGGATCATCAGATCAAACGAGACGCGAAGCGTCGAGTTTGATCTGATGATCCGCGCCTGTCAACGAGACGTGATACGGCTCTTCGGATCAAGTTACTGTTGTAATGATAAATTTATTATATACCCCTTTACAACTAGCAAAGTAAAATAAAAGGAAACTTTTTGGATCAATATTACATAACTTTTATCCATTAAACAAACCATTTTGTCAAGGAACTTTTTGATGCGCGAGAATAAAAACGTCATTTATATGTGTATTACGTCATCAGTTTCAGAGAGGTTATGATATGGATTCAGAAAACCACAGTTTTCCGGATCACACCGTCACGTGATTGGTGAATTCAACAGTAAAACTGAGTGACAAACAGTTGGGTATATAATAAATAGCTATACTACACTCTGTTGGTTTTTGGTGATCTTCATGTATCGAAATTCAATATTGCTCAAAGATGTTGAAGTTATGCATTACTTAATGTTCTTTTGATTCTTTTGATTAAAGTATCGTCTCTATATTTTTGTAACTGACATGCTTTTATGAGATCATTCATTCATTCATAGCAAAATCACAGAGAGATGAAATTATAGCCCCAGTATTGATTTGATATTTATGATGACATATTTCTGCACTCTCCATGCAAGATGAATTATGTTAACATGCACCATAATTTTGTAGACATGCGACCTATTTATTTCAACGTGCAAAATTATTATGTTGACATCTCTTTATAGAATCTTATTTTAATATTAATAAACTTACTTACTGATGCCATTATATGACATCATACAATTAAGCAAGATTCAATAGGATTATGTTGAAATGCGACATTATACATATATCACATGGCTTCGAGGGTGACATACCAGAATGTTTGCCCCAAGGTGACAGGAAAGTCCAGTAGCCCTTTCCACAAAAAATCTAAAGATTTTAACTTAAGAATCTCTTACGACAAATCTTAAGTGCGTTTCCCGAACGCATTCGTAGCAGATTGAACTTAAGATTTTACTTACGACAGACTTCATCCCTAGCAACGACTTCAATATGCTTTATAATCCTCAAATAAGTGGATGAAAATAAAAATAAAACATAGTTTTCAACATTTGTCAGCATAACAAACATTATTGACAACAAATATCGAATGCAATCGTTTGTGAAGCAAGAAAGTTTAAAATCTGACGTCACAATCACAAGTCTGACGTAAATGTAGGTCATACGAAAATCTTAAGTGAAACTTATATCGTAAATATTTTGTAGTGTATTTCATTTAATTTTTCGACAATGATTGTGAAAAAATTTAAAATGTTATTGGAAATTGCTTTAAAAAGTTTAATGTAACGTGTATTTTGTTTTTTGCAGTTATATTTTTACAATAAAATCGATTTTAAAATACTTAAGAGAGGGTTGGGGCTCTCGTAAAGTTACGACAGATTTTGCACTTAAGACTTTCTTAAGAATTTTTGTGAAAACGATTTTTATCATAAGTTTTCACTTAAGATGAAAATATGTCGTAATATTTTTTGTGAAAATGTCCACTGGAGTGTTATGTTACCCGATGCCGAAGGCAGAGGGTGACATAACACTCCAGAACTTTCCTGTCACCGAGGGGCAAACATTCTGGTATAGTCACCCGAGAAGCCATGTGGTATATGTTATATAACATTTTTAAAATTAAAAAATCGTCTAAAATTGTTTAAGTTTAGACAAATAATCCAAAATGCTTTCATGACGTTAGAATTACGCTCCGTTGTTTACATTTGCTTAGCAACCGACGTCATTACATCTCGAACCCGAGCTACAAATGCGTAACATAAAAACACGTGAAAGTGATCGAGAGGGTGTTATAACTGTTTCCGTCGGGTGACATAACTGTTTCCAGCGTGTGACATAACTGTTTCCGGTGTAATTCAGCATTTTCAAGGTTTATAGTGAAACTTATTACATTCGTGATATAATAGGAAAACTTATTCAAAAATGTTATATAAATAAGTCACATGTTGACATAAATAAGTTGCATGTTAACATAATTATCTTGCATGTTGACATAATTATGCTGCATGTTAACAAAGATAAGTCGCCTGTTGCCATAAATATCGTACATGTTAACATAATGATCTTACATGTTAACATGACTAAGTCGCATGTCAACGAAATTCTGTTGCAGCTTGCTTATATGATGTCGTATGCTGGCGTTAGTTAGTAAGATTACCAACATTAAATTACATTCTCAAAAAAAGATTGGTATCTTGCATGTCGACATAATCATTGAGCATTTTGACATAATTATCTTAGATGTTGACATATTTTTCTGGCATGTTAACATAATTTATCTCGCATGTAGGGGGCAGAAATTTTCTGATTAAAATTACCTTTTCAACCGACGACAAATCACAATGAAGAGGCCAACTAAGACAAGGAGACCGACTATTGCGATGATACCTAGAAAGAAGAGCAAAATATCACTCAAAGGTCCAGAAGATAATGTATTAACAACAGATTGTTTGTATAAATTCTTATATTTACCAAAATGAAGATTTGTGAGAATGAATCTCTTTATTTTCTTTTGTACGTCGTCGATGGCTTAAAAATATAGAAAATTGCAATCATTACAAAATGTGTGCGAGACGTGGGATTTTTATCAGCTTATATTCCCTTAATTTTTTTATCAAAAAGACACATTGATCATAATAATAAATTCATAAATTAAAATTTTTAAAAATTATGAGTATAAAATTGTTTAGCAAGGTAAGAGTAAAAAAAGAAAGTTGCTAGAAAAACAAATATGGCATCGTTGTTACATGTGTTACATTAAAGTTTTAGAATTCAGAGAATTTAAAACTATTTCTCATCTGAAGGAAGGATGTCATTCTTTCAATGGTAATAGATGCTTTTGAAGTCCGGACAATTCTGTTGTAACTCTGTAAGTTTGGAGAGATCCGAAAGTTCTGGGTTTTCGAAACTGACTTCTAATTCAGGTTCAAGGGGACAAAGATCAGAAATATCAGAGTAGTAAAGAGTAATTTGATTAAGTCCCGAGAGATCATCTTGTTCAGAAGAGACAGAATTAGATTCTGAAGATGTATCATGTTCAATATGAGAAGGTGAGTCTTGGGAAAGAGGTAGTGGTTCTTTTCCAGTTGTTAAAGATGAAACAACTGCTTCATCTGGATGAGAGTTCTTTGTGTCATATCCCTTCTACTCAAAGCATAGGCCACTTCGTTATTTTTGCCTGGTCTGTGGATTATGTCAAATTGATAACCCTCGATTTCTAAAGCCCAACGAGCAAGTCGTCCTGTTGTTCGCCTCTGATCCATTACATACTTGAGAGCTTTTTGGTTTGTATATATTGTAAATTTCTCAGAAAGATAGATTCGATAGGAACGAATACCCTTAAGAACAGCAAGCATCTCTTGCTCTGAAGTGGACCATTTCTTTTCAGCATCTGGAAGGCTTCTGCCACCATAAGCTATGACACGTTCTTTTCCTGTGTCATCTAATTGACCCAAAACATACCCAATGGTGGATGAAGATGCATCGCATGTAAGAATGTCTGGGTAAGAAAGAATTTTTTAAGACAAAAGACACTCACCTCAGCATAAATTCCAAGTATCAACTGCAGGATATTGTGGAGAATTTGAAAACAACTCATGAAATTGCCTCAGATAACATCCTTAAGAGCCAAGAAAAATCCAAAGAGATATTCGACAACATGCTAAAGTCCCAGACTTCAAGCTCTTCGATAAAGTTCTCATCAAAAGTAACAAAACTACAGTAGGACGTTCTCCAAAGTTAGCTCAAAAATATCAAGGACCCTACTACATATCAGAAATTGGGCCAAATTATACATACAAAATCAGTCGCCCTCGTGGCGCAGTGGTTAGAGCGTCTGCTCTAGAGTCGCCAAGTAAGGAGTTGATCCTTACGTCGCGGGTTCGAATCCCATTGTGGGACGTGGAGACCGGTCCTTCGGATGAGACAGTATAAACCGAGGTCCCGGGTCGCAGTAGGTGCTGGCACGAAAAAGATCCCTCACTGCTCAATGGCCGTAAGTGCCGAGTATAGGACAAAATTTGCAGCTCTCCACCTGCAAGTGGTGGCGTCTCCATATGAGTGAAAAATTCTCGAGAGGGACGTTAAACAACATACAAACAAACAAACAAACATACAAAATCAGACGTTGTTCCAATCGCAAAGAGCTCAAATCCTTCATAAATGCCTCACAAATCAAACAATAATATGACCCTGAAGTGGAAAGAGACAACATAACACAAACTCAAACTGTTCAAAACCAAAATCAACATAACACTGGAGATGACAATGACAATTCAGATATCCAAAATGTACCAACTACCACACAAAGCACTAATGATGAAAATGATCAACCCCAATCCCAACCCCAGAATCAAGCACCTGACACAGACAATAATGCTTAGCAGTATCCTTATGAAATCAGAAAACTTGCCAAGTACAGACATAAAGATCAAGAAGAAGGTCTAACAATTGGTAAACAAATTTTTCAGTCAAATACGATCCAGCGAAAGGTTATATTTGATAACTAGGTCATTATAACGACCACTGAATTTACGAAACGCTGACTTTAAACGAGAATCCTTCTAACATCAACTTATCTGTCAGTACTCTGACTCGGTTTAAAAATTCATCGTACTCAGAGCATGCTCTTAAATATCGGATAAGTTGGAAGACGTAAGCACCATGTTCAGGTGCATATTACAATATAAATAATAAAAGTTGACGATGGAAAAGCTGAAGTGATCTCGTTTGTCATACAATTCAGTTGTTACTTGGCCTTTATCGTCTATAGTATGTAAAACATCCAAATATGAAACAGATGTGGTAGACTCTTGTGGGGGGGGGGGGGGGGTACTTTGAGTCTACTGGAATATATCGAGTCGACATATGAATAGAAGTAGCTATTGTTTATTGATTCAATGATGCGCATTGAAATGGTTTGAATGAAATGTTTTGAAGGTTTATTATGTTATTACACGCACATTTCTTAATAAAGGAAAAGATTTTCTCACATCCTTCATTCGAATACGTGTAGAAAAGTTACTATAAATAATTTTGAATCAAATAGCCAATCAGATTGGCAATCTATAAATAAACACCGGGTAAAACTCGATCTATACACGTGTTGTGATAACTTCATTAAACATGATAAATATTTCATTATGTACATAATTTTTACAGTTTAACAGACGCTGGATAGTCTCTAATTTTCTCTTCTAACTTCATATAATCCCATTTTCAGCAAACTTTGCATTGCTTTCCGAAGAGAATTTGAATGTCTTAAAATGTTGCAACGAATATTGCTTTCTCGTTTCTAAAGAAATATGCATGTCATTATGAGACAATAGATGTTCTATAAGAAATACCAAAACGATCCATTCAAACAAGAAATAAACCACTTCTAATATGTCATCGATATATCTGAATGGCAAGTTGAAGGCCGCATTAAGTTTTTTCTTCTCATATAGAAGTCTTTAAATAAATTCTGCTTCATAGGAATATAAAACAGCTCTGTTAATAAAGGAGCACAATAAGTACCCATCCATTTCCAACAGTTTCCACTGACTACATACATTATGTAAATGTGATTCAAGCATGCATCCTTTTAATATCAACTTCGCAGTACTTATGTGTAGAATTAGATTATGAATAATAAGTAATCCGTGTACAAACATAAAAATCAGTTTAGAATTCTACATTAAAAGTTTTCATTTTATTGCAAGATTAGAATAATTATAATTCAAATGTAAATGAAATTACAGGTCATTTTGCAATGTAATTAATTAGATTCTAAGTAGTATTGAAAAAAAATGCTCAATTTTTTTTGGAAAATTTATAATCAATTACACTTAATTCTATTAATTTATTCAATTACTTCATCCCTTATTTGGACGCTTACTCTTAATAGAAACCCTTTTTGAATATATTTGAACTTAATCCCCCCCATTCCTTAATGTAGGACTTTCCATGGACCTGGATATTGTAGACTTTCAAACTGATGACGCAAAAGGAAAGTAGCCAATGTCATTTCAGAAAGTGCGGTGTAAACTACAAATATGTTAATATTTAATGCATAAGTCCTGAGTTTCTGATTGACAACATCTATGTGGTTTTTGGAGACCAGGTCTTCCAACAATCTGTTGGAATTCCCATGGGTACCTATTGCGCCCCGTTATTAGCAGACCTATTTTTGTATTCATATGAAGCAGAATTTTTTCAAAATCTTATACGTGAAAAGAAGAAAACAATTTGTGTGGCGTTCAACTCGACATTTAGATATATCGATGACATATTGTCAATTAAAGTTGCATGATGAGTCAAAACCATGTGTTTCTTTTAAGAAAATTGTATCACAAAACAAAAGATTTCTGTGAAATATGAATATAGCGAAGTTTTGACAACTCAACTGCACTGTAAAGCAAGAAAAAAAACTGCTAAATATAAGTGCCGGAAAAACAAATGTTGTATCTATCACTTTGTTTTTATCGTCAATGTCTACAATGTCAAGGTCACGCGTCCTTTATTTTAAGCGTGAAACTTGTAAACAACATTGAATTGGGGCAAGCAGAGTAAGGAATAAGTTATGATTATCTTTTTTGAAGATTCTATCAAAATTCTCAGTCATCAGACATTTATATCTATGGAATTGAAACCATGGTAAATTCTTCAACTTTTCAGCGCATGCATACAATAAAGAGGAAGAAGTGAAGCAATATTTTTGTGATGGGTTACAAAAAGATTTTTTTTACTTTTATTTTTCTCCATTAAATTAGATTTTTTAGGTATGAAATGTGTAATTTTCTGAAACCTAATATCTTCAAGAACTGAACAAAATTTGCATGTGTCGTGCAGAAATTCTACTGTTGTCAATTTTCCCGTTTGTCCGTCACAGTGTCACTTTAACAATGGTTATTTCCATTCCTATGTCGATACGATATATCCCAGTGAGCATGAAATAAAAGATACCACAGAGTCCGACACATCCCTTTCATATTTGGATATTTTACTAGAAAAGGACGTTATTGGCAATCTAACAAAAAGCTTGATGATAAACGTGATGACTTTAACTTTTCAATCGTCAACTTCCCTTACTTATGTAGCAAATATACCTTCATCACCTGCATACGGGGTTTATATTTCTCAGTTGATTCGATACGCAAGTGAATGATCTATGTATAAACAATATCTTAAACGAGGTACTTATGTAGCAATATACCTTCATCACATGCATAGGGTTTATATTTCTCAGTCGATTCGATACCCAAGTGAATGCTCTACGTATGAACAATTTCTTAAACGAGGTAAGTTATTGACAAACAAGATGATGAAACAAGAATATCAGCAGCCTCATTTAAGGTTGTCATTTCGTAAGTTCTATGGTCGATACAATGATCGTGTCAGCAAACAAGTTGATGAAGCAAGAATATCAGCAGCCTCGTTTAAGGTTGTAATTTGGTAAGTTCTATGGTCGACACAATGACCTTGTCAGCAAATAAAAATGCTGACTAACGTTTTTCATACTAATTGTTAGGCCATTATTTAAACACTGAATTGTCGACGAATTTTTCCGTCATTTCCCGATCATGACAGGGAGCACACGGCGGGCGGGGATGATTACTCCTCCAAGGCAGCTGAACCCAACTTTTATGTTTTAGAGGGCCGTGTTTGCTCTGCTATAAAATTTGTATTGTTCAATAGACTTTTGATCTTGAATACTGTTCGTTATCTCCATACATTTCATTCTTAAACACAATTAAAGAAAATTGAATGTTGCTATAGCCTTTGAATGATATTAAGTAAAAAATGATAAAACCCTCTTTATCATTTAATAATCAAATTACTATGATTTGCAAAACATTTCCATCATTAAATTTCATATTATAGAAATGCACAGTTTTGAGTGGTAACTAAAAAAATCTGCACAGAATGAAATTTAAAAAAAAAATGTTTAGAAAAACTACAATGTACGAACAACTGAGTCGTGTGAACAACGATTTTTCGTAAGAACGACACAATATCTCGTACGAATGAGATAATAAATCGTGCGAACGAGAAATTACATCGTACGAACAAGCTATGTCGTGGGAACGACAATATTTCGTTAGAACGACATTATATATCATGCATATGAGATAATCAGTCGTTCGAACGATAAAAAAAGAGTAAGTGGTGTGCACGAGATAATATCTCGTGCGCACGAAATATCTCGTTTGAACGAAATAATAAGTCATGACAACGGGATGTATGTCGTGTGAACGAGATCATAAGTCGTGCGAACGACATAATATTTTTCAACATACAAAGAAAAATCATTTACATGACCCAAATATACCAAATGTACCTGTATGCTGCATATTGAAAAAAAAAATCTTTATAAATAAAAATATAGGTGGAGTAATTAAAACAATTGATATCCCGTGATTTAGTGAATGTTAGTAGTTAATTGATTTTTTTAAAGTTTCAAACATTGCATCGGGACTGAGTCAGATTGGATAACGTGTATATGTATCAAAACTCTTTGATATAAAAAAACAATTTCGAAATTAATTCAAATTAATAAAAAAAAAAAAAAAGAATATATGATAATGGTTTATTTACAATATCATGGAAAATACCTGTGTAATAATATTATTTTTGTGACATTAAAAAGCGAATTTATCTTTTATTACCTTCTTCTTTTTCATGTGTTCTTGACAAAGGACCTGAAAAATTAATCTTCATACTTATTAATAAATATAAACATTCCGTGTTGTTGTGTAGTGGAACTCAATTCACTAAATTTGAAGGTATGGAGAATTAGACAAACTTAACAAAACTTACAATCAAATGCTGAGAACTCTAATTCACCATATTTTTCTCTGAGGTTGTCCTGCATTGCGGAAAGTATCTTTCTCTTATCTATGTCATAACACGTCGATTTGTTTGCTGCTGATACAAATGCAACTTCTTTGTTGATAAGCTGCCTCACAGACCTATTTTAAGAATTTTCATCTGATTTATATCGATATTCGATATCTATTTTACGTCAAGTTTTGATAACATAAGCAAAGTCCTTCAATGACTGAGAAATAAAAAGAAAAGGGATTTTAATTTAGAATGAATTATTCCTAGTTTTGTCTTTAACACTTGTAAATGTAAATTTATTACTTTTAAACCCAGTAGAGTTCATCCGAAGATATCCGAACATGCATTCAATTGTACTGTAAATTGTTTTTAATTCTCCTTATATCTAATGCAAGTACATACCAGCAAAATGCCTCTTTAGAAACAACAGACAATCTACTATTGGAGTATGTTTTCTCTGATCTTAATAAATCTTTAGAGGCACACGGTGAAGAAAAGCCTAAAAAAAATCAGTACTATGTAACATTAAGAATAAATCGAGACTTAAACGTCTGAATTAGGATATAGATTTAGTTGTATAAATTATATACAACACAAATGGCAATGTACGTTTGGCTTTTTAGTTATTAAATTATTATTGAGATAAGCTTCAAAAATAAAGAGCAAAACAACGAACAATCAGAATTCATTTCCTCCGTGATGACTGCTAACTGTATCATTCTAATTGCTACAGCCCTCCTCAACATATGCGATTCTGTGCAACGGATATTATAGGTTGTTTCCATATTTGAAAGATGACAGTCAATCATTTTTGTTATTCCTCTAAAATATATTTTAAAATAAAAAAATCCCACTTTGATATCCTTTTTTTAAAATATATTTTTCTGCCTGAAATGGATATCAAATTCAGTTTCCTGAAAAATTTGAGTTATAAAAAAATATGAGAAGCATATTCTTTTAAACATGGAAATTTTAATGAACATAATCATACAGACTATTTCTTACATATAAGTAATTTAAAAAGTGGCTTATCTAGGAATTATACTTAAAGACATCTGAACAAGATAGTATCTTTCTGATATTGTAAGATAAAAATTTTTACTTGCAGTCGTAGTTGTTTTGTTGACACTTTTCAAGTGATTTCTTCACATCGTAGCATGCATTTTCTAAAAAGATAAAAAAAAAAAAATTCGCTGGTTTATTGCATGTTACATAAATAACATGTAGTTCATTTAATAAACGTTTCAAATATACCGGTATTCCAAATGATACGGTATTTAAATTACGCCCTCTATAATTGGAAGAACTTTGTTTCGCTGAGAAAATGTCCCGAAAATATGGTGTTTTTTAAAGAAAATCTCAAATTCAAGGTTATTTACTGTATTTTATGACTGAAAAGGAAGAAAAGAATCTTCTATATTATATTGAGGGGGGGGGGGGGGAGGGGGGTGATGCATTCAAGACAGATGTGAGGACACACCAGCTATAGATATGCAGTCTACACAATGTCTACCAGATAATGAAATATTTAAAAATAAATTTTGAAAATAACTGAGCTAATTTACTTATGCAAAAATCAATACAAACCACAAACAGGGACGTCGCAGTAGTCCCATTCAACATCGGAATGATTAGTAAAACACCAGGGCTCGTCCCTGTCAAAGTTCCTGCAGTAGTTTTCCTGATCTCGTCCCAAAACTTCATAGTTATGTCTATGAGGAGTTTGTTTTGACCAGGGTTGACAATTTAAACCTCTCTTAGTTTTGTTTTGTGTCCCATTGTACAATTGTCCAGGAATTTGACATTCTGGAATAAATGGTATCAACCATGAATCATGACGTCTAATAGAATATAAAATTGTGATTAAACTTGAAATTCTCCACTTAACTGAATTAAGTACCGCATATAAAACTGTTTAACGGAAGATTGAAAATACGTCTTCCTTTCAGAACATCAGGTTTCTCACAGACAGCTTCCACCTGGGTTCCATTGTTGTCTACCTTTTGAAGGGTGATATCATGAGTTCTCACATATTCAACTAATTGTTTTAGTCCACAGTCACATCGTAACGGACTGCAACCTAAATATCTTAGTGAAATAAATAAAAATAATATTATTTGTATGAGAGATTGGTATTAAAGATTAAATATAAATAAGGAAAAAGTCAGAAGGTTTCAATTATTTACATTTGCTTTAGGTTTCTTAAATTTTCTAAGAAATTTTCATGTATTTCTTTGATGCTGTTTCCACCGAGATGCCTAAAATTAAAAAAAATTACCATACACAAAACATTAAAATGAAATATTCTAATTACAGTGAGATAAATGTTCTAAATGGCGAAAGCTATGGTAAGCAATTGAAAAAAAAGAGGTATGAACTGTCTAGATCTGTAATTAAAAACTCATTTAATTGAAAACATGCAGAGAAATAAACTAATAAGAATCTAACATAAAAATGCCCAGATATTCAGACTACTTCTACATGAGAAGAAGAAACACACACAACAATATTCAGTCTAAACTTTGCTTGCATATATTGTTTAACTCTTAAAAAAACTTGTATATAAACGATTGTAAAAATTACCTTGTAAGTATTAAAAATACACAATAAACAGATATCTTACAAACTATGGATAAGCTTTGCATCATTTTATTTATCATTTCATTTGTGGCAGATTTTTTAAATCTATAAATATACTTTGCATCATTTAATTCATCATTTCATTAGTTGCATATTTTGTGAATAGTTACTTTTGTATGTTACAAGATGCAAAATCTCCAATTTAAAGTACAAGTACATATAAGCCAGCACTCTTGACGTTTGAAATATGCGAAAGTTTATATAAAAAATCTATTCACTGTTTATCAAATTATATCCAATTGAAATTTGTAAAACAAATAGACGAATGTTTTCAAATTTACATATGAGAGAAGAACACTCATTTTTAGAGGGATACAACATCAGGAATAAAATAATGAAAATCGATTTGTTCGGTATCAGTACCTGGCATGGCAACGGCTAGCCATGATCACTTCCCTGCAACGACTGGTAAAACTATTTGTCAAATCAAGAAAGGCATCCTGGAGGTCAGTCCTTAATCAGAGGAATTTCAAGTCCCTGAAGTGTTTTTGGTTGGTTTTATATACATGACATTTATATGTCTGATTTATTTCTCATAGGGTGATTGCTTTAGAAGATTATATTCAAGTATCATGGCTGGCCAATTTATGCTGACCTGATTTCAAACTCTGGCATGGTGGGCTTTTACTTTGTCATTAGTAGAGATGAAATAAGTACATGTAGTTTTAAAAGCATAGGATAAAACCATGCGGCATTCAGTACCCGGATGTTCACTGAAAAAGAGGTAACTGAATGGCAGAGCTTTACCATTTGGTTAACTTTCGGTTATATTTCACTGAAGAGCATATACATTAATCTTGTAAATGCGATTTCTGTGGGTAAGTTAATTCGATTTGTTGGTCTTGTTGGAAAATAGTCCTTTTTGCATGGCCACTTTTAGGTCCTATTTTGATGCCATTGCCATTCTAACACATCCAGTAACAAAACGTCTTTCGTCAAAATGTGCACCAACTTCACGTTATGAGTACTAATAATAGCCCTTGAGGCCCACTCCACAGTCAAATGTCTTCTTCGATGCATTTAATCTCGAATACAGTTTCTAACCACACATAAAAGGCAGTTCCTTATGAGGTTCATTATCTAAAAACATTTTAGACAACACTCTGCAAAACTGTGCTGCGAATGCCAAACGTAATAAAACCAAACCTGTCCCAGGATTATGAAGCAGTATTATGATTATGTTTAAGTTTCAGCTATTCAGTTTATAATAAATGTTTATTATTTATTTTAAATGGTTCTTGAAAATTGAAATTAAAAAGAAAACAAATTTACACACATTTATCTATAAAGAAAATTTTAATCTACGAAATTTGATATGACTAAAACTGTTGTATAATCCTTGGGCCTTAGCTACTTATTTGAATGTAAGTCTAGAACATTAAAAAAAAACAAAAAGTAAATATAACGACAATTTGTCATTTTTCGTTGATAGTTTGGACTTTTTATATTGTGGACAAAGAAATGATGTAAGCTCAATCTATCAATCTTATATAATCACATAGCATTGTTGTACCGACTAGATTCTGAAATTCATAAATTCCAATGAAAACACTCGCTTTTATGCGAATTGTACATACATATACGTAAATATTTGATTGTTTGTTGTGACACTTGTTAAAACATATCATTATTCTACAATTCGTTGTGACGGATTTCCCTCATTGCCTACAGGAAGTCGAAACTCTCGATGAAATGTTATAAAAAAATTAATGTAAAAAATGTTTTCTTGATATGTGGAGGATATTTTACAAGACATATATCTTGAAAAGCATTGCGACTTCATCTGAACACGCCATTTTCTACAAGCTATCAGAATAGATAGATTATAGAATGCTTGGAAAAACTGTTCCTTTTGTACCGTGCACCGGCATGACTTACAAGATCCAGGAAACCTTCATTAAAATTCGGTTTTTGAATTTAAATTTCCGATTAAAGTCAGTTGACATCCTGTTTACGTATTATATTACTTGCTGTCAAATGGAGGAAGACATTTTTATACAATTTCTCCCAGCAATCATTCTATTTACAGAATTCATTTTTGTTTTTGGATACTTTATTCATTTAATAGCTTTTACATTCATTTGTATAATATTTGTTAGTGAGATAAGGAAGTATGAAACGGAAAAAAGTAAATAAAGGACATATTCTTGATTCTATAAGTATATACGTTATTCCAAGTTCAACATTGGTGCTCCAAAAGCACAATTAATTGCAATATAATAAAGAAACGCTAAGTTATTAAATAGATTTAAAATGACAAGATGTCATATAAAACGAATTATTATAAAAAAAAAATTGAGAACACGAATCTATTTCTAAGCATATGCTATGTATTAGATTATTTAGAAAAACAAGTATAAAAGAATTTAAAGATTTCCTGCATACAAAGAAAACTTTTGATCCACTACCCTTTACAGGCTGAAAATTTTGTGGAGGACTTTAAATTGCAGAAATATATAAATTTCTAGGAATAT